ATGGATATATAAATGAAAATGGAAAATTATTGGGTTTAATGTCGCCAGACAATTCTATGTCAAATAGTGACCTAGGTTCCAGCAAGGACTAATTATTGACTGAGTCAAACAGGAGTTCCCAGTCAAGGTTCCAACCGCAGTAGCGGTTCTAGCAACCTTAACTCCTGCAACTCCAGTCAAGCAAGTTATGTCTTATCTCCGAATTTTTACTCCAGAAGAGCACAAGAAATCCACTACAATAGAGCATAAACAGCGAAAATCCTCCTCTAAAGATTCTAGCAAACAGTTTAAGAAGAAGACTGAGTTAATTGAGTTAGCATAGCAACTTCTTCAACAAGCGGCAAATAGTTCATCTCCATTCTCCCAAGGATCTGCTAACGCTTCCCTGGATTCCTTCCAAGAAGCCCAAGACCCATATGCAGGATATGATTATCTGGTAGATATATCTACCCTATAATGGTACTTGTATATATATATGATAACTTCACTCCTACTTTCTTCATTAAAGAAATAAAAGTTGTCTATTACATATATCGATAAATGAATCATTTGGTACAACGACTCTTTCCCCTAAAAACAACCATCAGCCACTATTCAAATCTATTTTCCACCAAAAATAGATTCCTTCAGACAGCAGCAGGACCCACCTACCTAGAAAGTCAGCACTTACTTTGGTAAAAGCAATTTACCTCCACTTTCCACCGAAAGGATAAGGTGAAAAACGCTTTACCTGAGTTAAAGCAGCAGCAGGAGAAAAAGAAATAATCATTCTAGAGATTCCTTCAGAAATCCTTACGCCTATATAAGGATTTCAATCTTCACCAACAAAGCAAGCTTTTGAAGCTCTTAAAGCCCTTCTCTAACAAAGCTTACTATCCACTCTATACACTATCCTTACCTCATATTGTAAAGAAGCCTTCATAATGATGCAAAATGAAGAGCCTCTCGTTCCTATCCCATTACAGCCACTAGCCCAGTAGTGCTAGTATTGTAAGTATTTTATTTCTGTATTGTAATTAGTATTTTGTTGATATAAGAAGAATTTTTCGATAGTAAAATTCATCACCAACTCCTATATCTACAGCTTGTGATTCTCCTCATTACTTGTCTTTTCTCACTTGTTATATTTTGGTATCAGAGCCATTTGATGGCCTGGATAGTTACTCATGCAGTTATATTCGAGTTATCTTACTTGTACCTCTTCCAAAGCCGTGAATTTCCTAACCCGTGAATTTCTGCAAGAACCTCATGGCGGACAAGAAAGATAGTAAACTAGGTACCTCTTCCAAAATCGAGAGGGATACTGAAAAACAAAAATTTAGTCAGATATTTGCCTAAGAAAAGGCAAACCTTGACAAACAGTTAGCCTTGCCAAGCCCAAACCTTCAATCCTCTACTATATGTGTGTGTGTGTGTGTGTGCACGCGCACCTGTGTTTATGCCTGTGAAAGAACCTCCAAGAAATACAAAAGTTGGTCGGAATGTTCTTGGCAACCGACACCAAAACAAGCCTATGGCAAGAGTTTTTCGTAGAGCTTAATTCGACTTTGAAATATAAACCGGACAAGACCAATGTAGTTGTAGATGCTCACAGTAAGTTTTTAACCAAGTGGTTCAGTCTTCTCCATTGGTACCAGAGAATTATTGAGCAATTGGTAACTACAAAGCTTAGACCTAATGAGGGACAAGCCCCTTCCTCTACAAATTCCTCGTCAGAGTCTTGAACACCTGCCAGAAGTATAGAGCAGCGAGACATATTGGGCTTTTTTTTTGTGTAGTGCATCAATCTTTCTGTGAACTGGATTGCCATGTAGAAAGCAAGGGACTTTTCAATTCAAACCAGCCAACAAGCTCTTGAGAGGTATCCTACTTGCTGAATGTAATTCAAACCTGTAGCCTATGCAATCTATAATATAAAAGAGGGCGACTTCAATAAGTCAATCTTACGGTCTCAAATTCATTCGTCCAACAGTCAAGAAATTACAATTTTTTTCCTTAATATTCTCCCCCATTAAGTCAACGACTACGGCTGATCTTGAAACATATCTTACGGTCGCAAATTCATTTATCCAACGATCAAAAAATTAACATTTTTTCCTTAATATTTTTTCTCCCAACTGGTTAACGATTACGACTAATTTTGGAATACAGGATTTTCTCTGACATAATAATTAAATTGGTCAAATTTGTCATTAATATTAGTTGTGTAGTGTAATATTTTGAATTTGTATAAGACACAATGATAACATTTTGATTAAAAAAAGCTCATCAATTTATTTAAGATAAAAACAATAACAAGGCCGCTGCTTAACACATTAAAAAAAACTCATTAATTTTAATTTTATTTATTTATTTAATTATCTCAAACTAACATGTCTTATACATATCTTGAATCAAAAATGCAAGACTATTTTTTTTATATCTTAAGGAAATCCAACGCTAATATATTCTTTTAAATTAATAATTTTGTAATAGCTTGTACTAATTAAAAAATAATATTTTATAAATGATATTTATAGATCTTTTTTTGGTAGAAAATATTTTGGCGATATGCTTTTTGATAAATTCAATTTTTAGTTTGTATTAAATTTAACTCGATTTTGAGTACATATACATAAATTAACATTTTTTAAGTTAATTTTATCATATTTCGTGGATTTATCTATAATATCCATAATATAAAATAGGATGGCTTCAACAGACCTATCCTACGGTCTAAAATTCATTCATCCAACGGCCACCAACATTTCTCTTAAAATCATTTATATTGAATTTTACTCTCTTCTCACTTTTCACTCTCTCTCTCTCTCTCTTTAGCAGTGGCAGAGATAAGGGGTCTGGGGTCACCCTGAAAAAAAAAAAAAATATATATATATATATATATTGGATTAATTGAGCCCACTGCAATGATTTATGAAAAATAAATTAATTAGGTCAAACAAGTTGGATACTAGAACAAAAAAATAAAAACAAAAAGTTCATATCAATCTCTTAAAATTAGCAAACTAAATTAATTATTTAGAGTATTGGTATGATTTGTTGAAACCTCATTTGGTTCAAAAATAATGGAATACATAACCAAATGAGTAAAATATGAAATTTGTAATTAAAAACATATAGAATAATGCTTTTATTTGTGTCAAATCTATATCTATAATTTATAATATAAAACAGTGTGGCTTCTACAAGTCCATCCTACGATATCAAATTCATTCATCCAACAGTTAAGAAATTATCATTTTTTCCTTAATATTTATCTTTTCAACCGGTCAACGATTACGTCTGATTTTCAAACACTTTTTATGGTCTCAAATTTATTCATCTAACGGTCAAGAAATTAACATTTTTTTTTAATATTTTCCCTACCAACCAGTCAAAGATTACGATTAACTTGGATCACAAGATTTTCTCTAACATAATAATTAAATGATTCAAATTTGCCATTAATATCAACTATGTAGTATAACAATTTAAATTTGTATAAAAGACAATGATAATATTTAGATTAAAAAAAACTCATCAATTTAACAGGTTAAAAAAAAAACAAGGGCGCAACTTAACACATTTATATTGAATATAATTAATTTTAATTTTATTTATTTAATTAACTATCTCAAACTAACATGCCTTACACATGTCTTGAATCAAAAGTTCAAGACTATTTTTTTTTATCTCTTAAGAAAATCCAACGCTAATATATTCTTATAAATTAATAATTTTCTAATAACTTGTACTAATTAAAAAAATTATATTTTATAAATAATATTTGTAGATCTTTTTTTGATAGAAAATATTTTGGCGATATGCTTTTTGATAAATTAAATTTTTAGTTTATATTAAATTTGACTCGATTTTGATTATATGTATATAAATTAATATTCGATTTTGATTACATGTATATAAATTAATATTTTTTTTAGTTAATTCTATTATATTTTGTGGATTCTATAATATAAAACATGGTGGGTTCAACAAACCATCCGACGGTCTCAAATAAATTCATCCAACGGCCACCAACATCTCTCTCAATACTATTCATATTAAATTTTACCTTCCTCTTCTCACTCTTTACTATCTTTCTCCGGCAGTGGTAGAGGGAGGAGGGGTCTGAGGTCACTCTGGAAAAAAAAATATTTTTTTAATTACATATGTTTTATATATATTTTTTAAATTAGTGGGGCCCACTGTAATGATTTATGAAAAACAAAATTAATTGGATCAAACAAGTTGAGTACTAGAACAAAAAAACAAAAACAAAAAGTCCATACCAAATCTCTTAAATTAACAAACTAAAATTGATTCCTTAGGGTATTAGTATAATTTGTTGAAGTCTCATTTGGTTCAAAAATTATAAAATATACAGAAAAAAATAAGTAAAATATAGAATCTATAAAAAGATTAAAAATTATAAAATATTTTTTTATTTGTATCAAATAAATTATATTATTGATCCTTAATGTATAGATGTAATCTTATTAATTTTTTTCAAATAGGCTTTTTTTATGTTTAATAAATTTTTAAGTATCAAATTTAATATAAAAAATATAAATATATCACACTATTTTTATCTATTATACTTAAAGTGTGTTCACCCTAAATTATATTTTTGGCTCTACCACTACTCTCGGGGATCTTTTTACTTAATTTTTCAAATTAATTAATTGATTTATGTTGTACCGTGCCTGAAGGCACGGGTTATCCCTAGTCAAACATAAACGAGAAAATGTGGAATACTGCTGAAGAAAAGGAAAAAAAGCAAAAGGTCAAGCAAGCATATCATATAAGCAACAGAACCACATACACTAGGACATAATAGGATAGAGAACATAACGTTGAGTACTGCTAGCAATTACAATCAAAATGCTTTCCATTTTTATACACAAGCAATACCACACCAACATATCCTAGTGGTAGATAGTAGGGCAGAGTGCAACTCAAACGCATAAATACCAAAGCTCAGAACATCACTATATGCATCAACATCTATCTACATATGCACTTTAATCTGAAACTTTGGTTGGTTCAGGACGGCGGTGAGTATGCCAAGCAGAAGAGTAAGCTGAAACAGCAGATCCAGTAATGCTCAACGAATGCTTTGCAAGATGCACGCTCTTCGTTGCTGCTAACCACACGGTAAAAAAGAAGCCCATCCAACCTGATCCACATACAATTTCCAAGTCTCAGGTGTGCGTAAAGAAACAGAACAGCAACAGTAGACGCATATTCAATTGGAAGATTCAAACAACAAATAACAAAGCAATGTAGTAGAACTTTAGAATTACAATTAAAATGTTCCGTCACAACAAATGTATTGGTACAGTAGTTCCAGAGAAAGAAACCAGCCAAAAAGCTCCAGCCCAGACACAACCATGGAAACAGTTCAGCCCGGAAAACAATAAAGGCTATCTACAACAAACCTAAGCATTACCACCATCAAATCCCCAGAGCAAAAAAAAAGTTAGTTTATAGGTGTAAAATGGAGAGCGCTACAATCAGTAATACACCAACTGCCAGAAGTTGAACACATCTACATATACACGCGGTGGTCGACATGATAAAAAGAGAAAAAAAAAGTGTATTAATTACAGACCTATGATTATGGTATAAGCGGAGCAAAAGAACCGATCAGAAGGCTCAGATATGTACTATTGGGGAACAAAACAGAAGAAAAAGGAAACTTCTAGTCAGTGGATCACTTGGTCTGGGCTACAATTTTTTTTTTTTTGGTCATTAGTCTGGGCTACATGACACAAAGTTCTTCAAGCTTATACATAAATTACAGGAAACAAAGTCTCTGGAATCTACGATCAAAGAGCAAACTAAAATGGTCAACTAAAAGAAAACAAATTGATTAGTTCGTGGAATACCGAAAAGTATAACCACAAAGGGCGAATAAAATAAAAGCTCAAGTGCACAATTGTAGAAAAAGGAAAAGAATATAGAGAGTTTAATAGGTTACCTGCAGCTATTAGAGCAGCTATAATTGCTGAAATGGTAGCAGTGGAAATAAAAAACGCAGCTACGCATACTGCCCCAATATAGATGGCCGTCACACAGGCAAAGAAAAAAGCCAAGAAGCCCCCTGCTGCGGCTAAAGACATGAAAAGAGAGATTATAACGGCATTGACAGTTGCTGCCAGAAAGAAAAGCATGAAGACTAGCAATCCTGTCAAGCTCAGAAGAGTGACAGTCCCAACCTGCAGCAATTTTGGGGAAAAAAACACAAGAAATTCATTACACAAGAAGAATTCAAAATTCACTTTATGTTATGACATAAAGAAAACTTACGATTTTCAAAAATTGTCTTTATGTAAATTATTTTCAACATATAAGGTTCATTAAAAAACTATTGAGGGAGTAGATTGATTCACATCCAAGCACATTAATACTATATGCTGGGAGAAAGCAGCAGCAAGAGGAGGTAAACATACAATAGGGTCTGAAAATCGATTAATATGGCTACTTTAATTGTCAGAGAACAATTTTCAGCGGCACATGAACAGGCTGCAATTTTGCAGTCTTACATAGCATTTACGAAAACAAGCACTTCACGAGCTCTTCTCAGTCTCAAGGATGAAAACACAAGATCCAAAGTTCATTATATTGGAAATATTTGTGGAAAACATCCAGGATGATGCCTCAAGTAGCATGACCAAAAAACCCAAAACAAAAGACAGGATGAGAAAACTGCACCAAGTTTCAGACAATCCTCAATCAGGAAGAGGATTTTTGCATTAAACATGAATATAGAGCTAGTATAGCATATGCCAAAAACTGTTTAGGGGCGTATTCAGAATCGTCAATGTAGATTAAATAAAGGATGCAATCCATTACTTGCTATACCTCTAGCAGAAACCCTCGTCTCCCTGGGGACAAAAGAAAGACAAAAAAACCCATACAGATGTCGGTACTAAATGAACGAGTCATGTTATGATTTCTGCTTCAGAAGAGAGACAATGCAGTTGAATTGAGCAGAAATCTTGCTGAATCAGAAGACCTAGACGATGCTCAAAACATTAGTTTCGATAGAATTTAATAAGTTGAGGTTGATTGCAATTTTTATAGGTTAGATGAGGAATGATTTCCCAGGGCCACAGCAATGTCATTTCATCATAAATTAAAGATGTTTCTAGATTCTAGAACTCAAAAAGCCTTCTCCCTCTGCCAACATTTGATGATGTTTCTAGATTCTTGGAAATAAAATACGAAAAATAGATGCTCAGAGAGGCGAACTTAGAGATCAGATACCTAACCAATAGAGCATGCTAACAATTTGACCACTATTCAACGTTCCATGATGAGATTCATTCTACCAGCATGTGCTTTTTGACTTAGAAGACCCATAATCTGAAAATCAACATTGAATAGCAACAACAAAAGCTGCACTACTCACGCACCCAATCATGATCAAAACAAGAAAACCCATTCAAAACAATAGTAAAGGAAAGAAAATAAACGAGACAGTGTCATAAATAGTTGTAGCTGTCCAAGTATGTTTGATGGGTCAGACAGGCTTAAGCCCATAAGCTATATTTGGACAGTTTTGAAAGATTCATAAATAATTGTATAAACTGCATTTTTTTGTTGTTCGATTGGTAAGTAACAAAAAAGAATTTTTACTCAAACAAGCTAAATTAATGTGTCATTACTTAGTCAAAGAAGGGCTATGACCGATAGTTCTTCCATATCACTGACGGCAAAGAAGGCAACATGCTCAATCAAGGAAAGCCTCATCAATAATTTTGTGTTTCCTACTCCAGTAGTTACGACTACTAAATGTTCTCAAAATCTAAGTTCACCTTAAGGATACACTTAAAGAGCCATTGATCAATCTCTGTTACAAGGGAAACACCGTCAGAGACTTCACAATCAAGGAGACTTGGGAACGAAACTTTTAAATTAGGCATTGCGAATTTATAAATTGCATCTTACAGATAAGAAAAGATGCATACAAGACAGAAGACGACCAACATTTACATGAAATAGCAACCGCAGCTGACTCAGAATTATGTCCATATTTTTCAAGCAACACCAACCATTGACAACAATGAAAGCTTCCTGTAGCGCACAATTTCCTATTTATCTAGACAGACTAAAGAAAAGAATCCAGAGTACCATGAATCTCAAGTCAATGAGAATTACTTGTGCATAAAACTAAGTAATAATTATCAATACTTCGTGTTGGACTCCGTAAGGATGAGAGACAGAACAACATGAACCAATTAGTATAACGGAAGCTTCCAACCCTAAAAAGTAATCAAAACTGGGTAAAGGGCAAGCAGACTACCAGATTAACAGGACAATACTTGCAGTGGAACCATAATCTACGCAAGGTGAACATCAACCATCAATCAATTCAACAAGCCTTTCAAGCGTCTTATGTGTTGCAAACTACAATGCCAGCAGAGTTAGTTTTCACCAGAAAACCCAGATGGGCTAATGGTGCTCAACAGTCAAGAAATAAGAACCTGGTAGTACTTTTCAATAGTAAGAGCTTCCGAAGTTTCAGCTTCTACATTCGTTAACATTAATATGTTACCAATAATAATTTTTCTTTCTTTTAATCAATATTTTGGAACTAATAGAACTTATGAATTGGCTAAGTTAGAAAGACTGCCCAATCCAAAGCTACCAAAAGAAGGGACAAAAAACCTGAATGTCACGTGAAACATGTTGAGGACATCTAAAATGAAGTTTAGTGCTAAATGGAATTTTATTTTACAAAAAATTATTTAGATCAGAAAAGTTACCAGGTATTTAGGGAGTTCCTTGATTTGCTGGACCTGGGCTGCAATGAATTATGGATCTTAATTAGGATTATATTGGGTAATTTAGTGTGAATATGATCCTTCCAAAGGGTGAGGCATGAAGGTGTTCTTACTTCTTCATACTTGTAAGTTGTAACCATCCACAAATTACCCATCACAGGCCCCTATCAGCCCAAAACGTATCCCCAACCTCGACCTAAAAAATCCTAACTAACCCTAACTCATTCCAAAATTCAGGTTTTAAATATCAAACACCTCCAACACTTGCCGGCTAAAAAATTCCAGCAGCTCTGTCTGAATTTTATGTGAACTACCACTGATATTACTAATCCAAAACTAAATGAAGCAAACATGGCCCGGTATTTTTTACACCTGTCCTACATCAGTTCTAGGTTTCTGCCAACAATAATCTTGCCATCTAACAAGAAGAGGTGTGATACCTCATGAGTCAATTTTAGACATATAAGATTAGTTGACCAGAAAAAAAATCCTGATAAATGTGTTAATAAAGAGGTAATGGAAATCATTCCTGTTAAGTTAAGAGAATTAATATAACACAATATTAGAGGCAATATTAGGGAGAAAGAGAGAGGTTAGAAAACTTAACCTATCTCTCATACATAACTTGTATTTATAGTTAACTTACAATAATAATAATAACACATACATCCCTTTTACTATTAACAATTTACACATACTACTACTCTATTATTCTTAACACTCCCCCTCAAGTTGGACTATATATATCATATAATCCAAACTTGGAACAAATAGTTGTAAGACGCAACTCAATGCTTTGATAAACATATCTGCAAGCTAATCTTCAGATTTCACAAATGGAGTTGTAATCTCCCCGGCTATTATCTTGTCCCGGATAAAGTGACAGTCAACCTCAATATGCTTAGTTCTTTCATGAAACACAGGATTGACAGCGATATGAATAGCTGTCAGGTTGTCACAGAACAACTGTAAAGGAAGTTGAACTGAAAAACCAATTTCCTAGAGAAAGTGTAGTAGCCAAGTCAACTCACTTATCGTATGTGTCATTGCCTTATACTCAGCCTCAGCACTGGATCTTGCTACCACGGGTTGTTTCTTACTTTTCTATGAGACAACATTACCTCCTAGGAAAGTACAATAACCAGTGGTTGATCTCCGATCAGAAGGAGATCCAGCCCAATCAGCATCTGAGAAACCTTCCACTCTAAGATGTCCATTAGCTCGATATAACAGTCCAAGTCCTGGAGCTCGTTTAAGATATCGCAGAATACGAGTAACTACCTCCCAATGTGGTACTCTAGGACATCCCATGAACTGACTTACTATACTGACTGCATAGGAAATATTCGGTCGAGTAATAGTGAGATAATTAAGCTTCCCAACCAATCTGCGATACCGACCCGGATTTTCAAATAATACACCATCATCCATCAATAATTTCTAATTCGGATCCATAGGGACATCAATCGGTCTACCACCCAGCAAACCTGTTTCCTCAAGCATGTCAAGTACATATTTTCTCTGAGATAAACAAATACCCTGTTTAGATCGAGCCACCTCAATACCCAAGAAATACCTAAGTTTTCTCAAATCCTTAGTATGAAATCGATCCTGTAAAAATAATTTTAACTTGGCAATCCCCTCAGAATCATTTTCAATAATCACAATATCATCGACATAGACCACCAATAAGACATACCCAGCATCTATCTGCCTATAAAATACAGAATGATTTGTTTGACATCGAAGAAAACCAAACTCTAAAACTGCATCTAAAAACTTACCAAACCATGCCCTCGGTGACTGCTTTAAACCATACAAAAATTTTTTTAACCGACAAACACTCTTACCAGACTCCCCCTGAGCAGTAAACCCAGGTGACTGCTCCATGTAGATCTCTTCAACCAAATCACCATGTAAGAAAGCATTCTTGACATCTAACTGAAACAAGGGTCAGTCAAGATTAGCAGCCAAAGAAATCAAGATACGAACAGAGGAAATTTTAGCAACAGGAGAAAAAGTCTCCTCATAATCAACACCATAAGTCTGAGTGAAGCCCTTTGCAACAAGTCGGGCTTTGAGACGCTCTACAGAACCATCTGAATGAAATTTAACAGCATACACCCAACGACATCCAACAGTTCGTTTACCAGAGGGTAAAGGGACAAGATCCCAAGTTCTATTATGATGTAAGGCATCCACCTCCTCCTCCTTAGCTTTCTTCCAACCCGGATCAGATAATGCATCCTGTAAATGCTTAGGAATAGATATAGCAGATAATTGGGAAGTAAAACAGGAGAAGACAGGTGACAAGGCATCATATGAAACAAAATGAGAAATAGGATGATTAGTAACACACAAACGAGTACCTTTGTGAAGAACAATTGGTAAAGAATCTAGATTACCTGATGTTCCTGGATCAGAAGGCAACAAAGAAAACGGTATGGGTACTTCAGTCAATGGGTGAGGATGGCAAGAATAGACACGGAGAGGTAAAGTAGGTGGTAATACAGCGGGCAGTGGAATATCTGATGGTGGTATAGAAGAGGAGCCAAAGTCCAGATCCAAAGGCTGAGAGGGTGCTGGAAAGTATGGAACAGATTCTTCAAATGTGACATCCACACTAGTAAAATATCGGTGCAAAGAAAGACCGTAGCAACGATACCCCTTCTGTGTGCGAGAGTAACCAAGAAAAACACATTTGGTAGCCTGAGGATCAAGTTTGTCAAATCCAGGACCCAAATTGTGAACATAACAGACACAACCAAAAATCTTAGAAGGAAGGGAAAATAAAAGCTTACTAGAAAACAAAATAGAGTATGGACTTTGTCCATTTAACACAGAGTAGGGCATACAGTTAATAAGATGACAAGAAGTAAGAACAGCATCACTCCAATAATATCGAGGAACATTCATCTGGAATAACAAGGCACGGGTAACTTCCAACAAATGACGGTTCTTTCATTCAGCAACACCATTTTGTGGAGAGGTGTAAGCACAAGAAGTCTGATGGATAATGTCAGTTTTACTAAGATAAGCTGAAAAAGGATCAGATTCATATTCACGAGCATTATCGGAACGTAAAGTACGTATACGACAACCAAACTAAGTTTTTATTTCTTTACAAAAAGTCTCAAATATAGAGAATAATTCAGACCGAGCTTTCATCAAAAATAACCAAGTCACACGAGAATAGTCATCCACAAATATCACAAAATAAGGATATTTATTAAATGAAATATTCTTTATTAGACCCCATACATCAAAATGAACTAATTCAAATGGACTAGACACACGATTATTGACTCTAGACTGAAATGACACACAGTGATGCTTACTAAGTTGACAAGCTTCACAAGACAAAGACGACACATAACTAAGACTAGGAACTTGACACTTTAGATTCTGGAGAAAAGGATGTCCAAGACGACAATGCCATTGAAAAGGAGACAACGAGGTCTGTAAAACTTGAGTAGATGAATCAAAGTCAAGGTAATATAGGCCACCAGCTTCATGTCCCGTACCAATCTTCCTCTTCGTCTTGAGATCCTGAAAGACACAATAAGAGGGATAAAAAATTACCGAACAATTGAGAAAACGAGTAATCTTGCTAATGGAAAGTAAACTAAAAGGAAACTGAGGAACAAATAACACGAAAAATAGGGACATATCAGGACTCAAGTGAGTAGTCCCTAGACCTGAAACTTTAGAACAAGTACCATTAGCAAGAGTAACACTACATACAAAAATAGCAGACTAATAAGTAGAAAAAACGTCAGACACACCAATCATGTGGTCAGAGGCAGCAGAATCTATGATCCAAGGGCTGCGGGTGGAGGACATTAAACATGTGGAAGCAGTACCTGACTGGACAAAAGTAGAAGTGGAGGGAGATGAAACAGCTTGTTACTGGGACAGGAACTGAGCATACTCCTCTCGACCCAGTGTAATAGTAACTGACCCAGTGTATGGTGGAGCTGACCGAGGTATGGAAGCAACAATCGAGGTGTCATCCTGATAAGAAGCCTGATTAGCAGTACCAAAGGGTTTTCCATGTAAATTCCAACAGAAATAAACAATGTGTCCTTCACGGCGACAGTGAGTACAAGAACGAGATCCATTACGACCTCCACGACCACCCGTACGACCTGCGCGACCACCACGACCACCTCGATGACCATCACTATGGTTATTAGGAACTACAAGAGCTGAGCGATCAGTGGAGACACCATGATCAATTACTGAGGTAGTAGATAGTATAGCACGCTATAAATGAGAGAAAACCTCCAGCAGTGATAGAAGACTAGATCCACCCAAAATCTGAGAACGAATAGCCTCATATTCAAGTTTCAATCCAACCAAAAAACGAACAACATTCAAGTCCTCATGTTGCTTTTGCCAAACTGCTGCATCAGTAGTTAACGGACTCCCCGAACATGAGAGTAATAATCCGCAAGGCTCAGAGTACTCTGCTCCAACCGGAAGTACTCCTTGCACACCTCATACGCACGGGTAAAATTACCTGTACCAGAATACATAGTGGCCAAGTGATCTCATATCTCTTTGGTAGTATCAAGATAAAGCAGAGAGGAACTAATATTGGGCTCTATGCTATTCAACAATAAAGAAATAATCTGAGCATCCTCTTGTTCCCACTGATCATACCCCAGAGTGTCCTCCTTGGGTTTAGAACCCACCAGATATTTCTTAAATCCTTTTTCTCGAAGAAAGACTTGAACAGATCGTGACCATAAAGTATAATTAGTCACATTGAGTTTGACAGAAGTCATGGGACTAGTGATAACAGTAGGAGGAGGCAACACAGGATTTTTGGGTTCCATAATAATGCAGCAGTTAGCAAATAAGAAGTGTTGCAGGACTGAACTGGACAGGAGAAGCCCACTTGAAAGCTGAACCAAACTGAAACGGGTTTGGACCGGTCTGATCTGGTCTGGACCGGGTCTGGACCGATCTGGCTGGACTTGATCAGGATACTGAACCGGGTCTGGACCAGTCTGGCTGGAACAGATCTTCTCCTTCGTTGGTTAGGGTTTCTACCAAACCCTATGCTTTCACTGTTGAACACCACCACAGCACCGAACACCACCACACCACAACACCGGACACCACCAAAACACCTCCACAGACCACCACGAAGATAGGCAACTACACCACAACGAACAATCGCCACCACGAAGACAGTCGACTGCCTTCACTGTTGAACACCACCACAACGCGGAACAGTAGCACACCGTCGACTACCACCAGCCGACTACCACCAACGTCAACCACACCGATGGACTACCACCAACGTCAACCACACCAATGGACTACCACAAGCCACAACCAAATAAAAAAAAATTCGATGAGCAGTACACCGATCGACTACCATCAACAGTAACAACACCAAGATTAATGCTCTGATACCATGTTAAGTTAAGAGAATTAATATAACACAATATTAGAGACAATATTAGGGAGAAAGAGAGAGATTAGAAAACTTAACCTAACTCTCATACATAACTTGTATTTATAGTTAACTTACAATAATAATAATAACACATACATCCCTTTTACTATTAACAATTTACACATACTACTACTCTATTATTCTTAACAATTCCCATTATTGGAGATAAATGAAAATCCAAAACCAATCATAATTGAATTAGAAGCAAGACAACACTAAAAAAAAAAAAAAATAACTAACAAACTAAAATAAAATAGGAAAAAAAAATTTTAATGTTGCAACCATCAACAACCAAATAGCCATTAGCATGCTTCCATTATTACCAATCTGGTCCATGATTTTTCCAGACATTTCAATTACAATTAGTACTACAGTAGACATTGTAAACCTAAAATTCATGAAAGAAAGTGACCGGCCAATTCAGTGTGAAAAGAGAAGAGCAATTGCACCCTCAACCGCGTGCCACTGAAATTGTTTAAATGACATAGGAGCACCTCTACCACAAAATACAATAACTTTAGCACATAAAACTCATACCATCCTTTCATTTGTCATCAACTATTTCTTTCTATTCTTTACAATAGCTGTCTCTCATACTCTGGTCTGAGTACCCCATAGCTTGATATATGTGCGCCACACCATTATTTTCAGGAAAACAAGCCTAATCCCTAAGTTATCCATAGCTATTTATCTCTAACCACAACCATCGATTACTGTTTTCTGCCTATAACACCCTGATAGGTAGAAAGCTCAAATCTTTCAAAAAAACCATATACTACTGAGCTCACAAATTCAAAACCAATCCACACTCCAAAAACCTCAGCAAAACCTAAAATTTCAATTCCATGCCTTGCTTTCATGACAACCAAGAATTAAACAAATTAGAAATTGGTTAATAGGGAAAGATACATATACCCCAGTTTTTTTTATCTCGTTTTGAGATTCAGAAATAATAACCAATTCCATAAATCTATGGAGTTTCCAAAATAAGTTATTTATCTTATTATTAATAACGTATTTCTTAAATAGCTAGAACGAACGACCCTCACAAATTGCAAACACTAATTTGTTAAGAATTAATCAGATTGATAAGCCAGATATATATATCATTATAACATTCCTAACTAAAAAATTATAATAATAATGCAATCATAATCATCGGTAAGTACCAAACTGTATTATGTACACCTTATGTGTGTGTTCAGTGTATACTCACAGATACAACAAGGAGGGCTCGGAGAGGACTGCCACGGCGAGTCCACAGAAGAACATTATGTCCGGTGTTCCGTGAAGCCTCGCGAAGCAAAGGAACATTCACGGAGAGTGCAGCTTTGATTCGCTGCACAAAAGGCATGGATGCATAGCTTGAGTCCGGATTGGGAAAGAAAGCCGATGATATGAAACTGTTGAAAACGCTGTAGAGTGTCACATCTTGTTCTTCCATATAGTTTTGCTTGGTCTTGTGCGAATATGCGTCTTCACCGTTCTCGATCACGACGCCGTTGGAGGTCTCGGACTCCATACCACTTCTCTCTTTTGGACTGCAAGTGTGTCCGTGTGTGTGTGCGCGCGTGTATGTGAGAGAGAGAGAGGGCGGGGGGGGGCTCTTGATCGAATGCGTGACTGCGGCGGGAGGGAGAGAAAGATGACTGGTAGTTGCGAAAAGGGCGTCACTGTCAATGGCCCACGGCCATTAGAGTCTTGAAGTGTGAGAATGATGAATACGTTGAATTGTGTGATTCAAATTAATATCGACAGATTGAGGACGGGGACGATTAATCTGGCATCTGAATTCATCCCGACCGTTCATTTTTTACTCATTTTCTGCAATCTGGTAACACGTGTATGATTGATCCCACATAAAACAAAATATTAGTGATCTTAAAAATCAACTGTTGTTTGATAAAATGTCTCAGCCCTCAGGTGTCGGCACGAAGTTTCGGGAAAATGAACAGGTATACCGTTATACTGTTTAAAGATTTTTTTTTTTTCTAAAAATCAAGTTAGTAGTTTGAAAAAAACATGAGTAAAATTATTTTAATTTAATTTATTAATTAAATTGATGGTAAATTTAAATACCGACTACTCCTTTAAACTTAACCGTCGTCACCGTGATTTAAGTTAACAATAAAAAAAAAAAAAGTTTCCACACATTTGAACATCTATACACAATAGAATGCTCTATTCTAATTGAAAAACATACGACAATTGTTTCCTAGGAGATATCCCTAAGAATTCGAACAATAAAAATTATGCATAGAAAGGACAAGTGGAGTTTTTTCCAATGCTAAGACGATGAAGGAAATAATGTCTTATTCGCCCACATCAACAATGAGAAAAAAGAACCAATACAAGGAAACACATGTTTAGCAACCCCATGCCTCCTCTTCATGCTTGTTGCTATTTTCACTTGCACAGCTAGACTCACATTCCATAGAGAAATTATCCCCAGTGTCTTCCAATATTTTTTGTTCTTTTTTTCTAGAAGGGGGAAGATGGTGAGATTAGAACCCGCAAGTCTGCAACCACTTGTGGACAGGAGTAAATGTTTCATCACTGAATCACTCCTTCACCTCAATCTTCCAATATACACTCCACTTTGGGACTACTGTCTACGTACAGCCTGTGCAGTTTTGGGTTTTCTTTTCGCACATGCTCGAAGCTTCGATTGAGACGCAATTTCTTTGAACCATATCATTGCAGTTTGCAGGACAATATAGAGTCATCTAAGCCATTCTCCCCTTGTCTGCACAGTACAGTTGCTATTTCTTGATTTATTCATCACAAAAGTTGATCATTCCCCAGTTAGTAACCTAATTTAATCCAAAAATATAACATTTTAACTTCATGAACTTATGGCTTTAACCATGGACAACTGAACCAGGAAAGCAGAACATACAAGAACATGAACACGAAAGAGAACAAGAACCCAATACAACAAAGCCTGGCACCCCAACCTCTTAAGAGTTTAGATAAATTGATTATTTATCTCTCTTCAGCTCCAGTGAGGGTTCCATTTCTCATCAAGTTCAAAAAGAAAAGGGTTACATTTCTCATTAAGTTCAAGAAAAAAGGTTACATTTCTCATCGATATGGAGTCAACCAAATTTTCTTCTCAGCAAAACTATCACACCCTTCTTTGGTTTCCCCTTTATGGCCCCTTCACATGAAGAAAAAAGACATGTATTAACCTCAAAGAAATGCAGTGAACAACCTCATTCAGACCATGACACCAGGATTACAACCTTTGGCACCGCTCAAATTAATTTCAATGCCGAACAAGCTTATACGATGAGTAAACAATAAGAAGTTGGACTTGTCACCGCCAGGAATTTCAATACTTCCCATCATTTGCAAATGTTCTAGTCAACCAACATCCACCGTCTTATGCAATTTATCACAAAATATGCACATCACAAATGTAAGTTCCACCTCAGAATTCATAATCTACCAAGTAAAAAGACCTCCTACTACAATTTTAATTCTAGGCTTCTGAAGTTATCAACCTCTAGATCATACTACACTAATCACCTCACATACTGGTTGACATGCTAGAATAACACATAAAAAAACTATTCCCACCTCCGAGTTTTCTTTTTTTCTTTTTTCTTTTTTGATGGTAAACAATATTGTCTTTTGAATTGAATAGCAAAATGGCTCCGAGTATATATCCAACAAAGCGAAAGATAAGCTACTACTATACTGAACTTTAAGCTCATAAAGATATCAATCTCCAGTTGAGATATGCTGATCACAATATGAAATGATTGGCATGCAAGGAAACTATTGATTAGAATTCAAGATATGACTTCCAGCTAGAAGTTTATGTTCAACCAAATGAAAAAAGCTCTGGTTAGCTCATTTAAGTCCAGGTTAATAAAGCTGTCAACCACTGGTGATTATGTACCATTAGGTCCATTACGACATGAAAAAATTGGCATGCTAGAAATCATGTCAAATGCAACATATCTCATATGACGTCTCAAATGGAAGCATCACCTCTTTAGCAATTAGAACCATCCAAGTTAAATAAATCCTGATTGGAGTCCAAAGTTATCCTCAGTGGCACAAGAATATATGATTTCTCAAACAGAAGCATCAGCTCTTTAGCTATTACTTTCCTTTTTTTCATTTTTCTTTTTTTGCTATTGTTTTTCATCTAAGCTTAATAATAACTGATTGGAATCCAAAGTACTCATCACTGGCACAAGATTTCACTTTCTACAGGCCAAAAAGTTTATTAAGAAAATAACACCAACAAAAGAAAAGGAAACTTCTTGTCCAAAAATTCACTGGGATCGACTAGAACAGAGAGTGCTTTCCATACACATCAGCTTAACAGAAACAGTACAATGCATTTTTCATACCAAATATGATCCAAGATTTGGAATACAAGCCTTTCCAACAAATTCAACAATAATAGCTATTGATGTTCATAAGACATTACACAGATCATCACTAAGATTGCATACTACGTGCCTTCTATACCCTAGAGCAATAATTGTTGGTATATATACCTACGGATCTGTCCTTGAGCTCACACTATAAAATAAAAATAGATTTATCTTTTCACTTTATCAGGCAATCTCAGCCAGCTGTCATTCATCCTGCCAAGAATGGGTTCAATTTTCTACTTCGTACAAATCTCATCTCAAATTTTATCCATTTATGAACTCAACTCTTAGCCTGAGTGGTATCTTGTACCACCACTCTCACAGAATGTTCAAGTTTCAAGCCCCCATTGTGACATCAATGCATGCCTAATCCAAAAGCCAAAGGAAACATTATGTTGCTCCTATCCCAATATCTGAGCACATATAACTCATTTTCCAGATCTTATGTACGTTTTCAATCTGTTGAAAATGGTACTCAGCTGTTTGTTGACCTAAAACACTCATTTGACTATGTGATTGCGGATAAACATATTTCAAAGAGACTAAGACAACTACTTCCCCGATAGCATGCACCCAATATTGACAGCAAAACTCTTAACCATAGCTGATGTCATGCATTATACACTTGATCCAATTTTCTCAAAATTTTCAGACAGAGCTCACAACCACACTTCCCATTCTTATATCTTTATCTTACCAACTTGGCAAAATCGAAAAAGAAACAAAATGGAGATAAAAGTATGGCAAATCAAGAGGATGTCTTACAAAATGTAATCTTTCAACTTTAAAGGGAAAAAAAAGGCACACAGCGCTTATCTTTCAAGTGAAAATCTGTCACTTGCCCAATTATACAGAAGTGAAGATGCAAGAGGATGTCTTACAAAATGTAATCTTTCAACTTTAAAGGGAAAAAAAAGGCACACAGCGCTTATCTTTCAAGTGAAAATCTGTCACTTGCCCAATTATACAGAAGTGAAGATGCATCTTCCTTACACTGTGTTTGGCATGGTGAAAACTTGTGTGGATGGAAAGTGGAGGGCGGAAAATGGGAGGGAAGGAAAGTTTTTCTATTGTTTGGTTTCAAAGGAAAAGGTGGTGGAAAGGAAACAACATCACTTCCGCCCACCATTCTCAATTTGTCCATTTTAGGGCGGAAAGCTGGAGAGAGAAGAGGGGCTTTGATATCATTAGTTGGCCTTATAAATTCTGTGGATGTACAGAATTATATTTTTTTGTAAATGATTTTCCAGAAATAAAATAAAATGGTGCTTTTACAAAAAAAAAAAAAAAGAATAGGGTCTTTGAGTGGGGCTCAACTAATTTACTGTTATACCCTCCTTTCGAAATGTGTGCACACAAACCAATATATTTATGTAAAGCAACTGTACCTTTTTTTAAAACTTTCCAGCACATATCCTCCATGTTTATATCACTACAAAACATATATATTTTTCACTTGTCCAACTGAAATTATATTTTTATATGAGTCAAATTAAAAATATTAATTTATTGGAACATATTTATTCAATAATATAGCAAATTAGAGGCTTTGAACTTTTATGTCATGGTAAAAAGTATTTTTTTATTTAATGGTATAGTAGTAAATTAAAGGGGTTTATTTTTCCCTTTCCTTTCTTTTTTCTTCTAATATCAAACAATGAAAAGTTTATCCCGCAAATTTTCCATCCATCGTACCAAACAAAAAAGAGAGAAAAAGGATTTCCTACCTTCGTGGATAGAAAGCCTATCTCTCTTACTTTTCCATCATTTCTAAACATGAGTGGCTTAACTAAAATAAGAATGCAGAACAAAGTACTAATAAACATAAATTTTTTTCCATTTTTATCTTTTGAAACAAAAAAAAATTAAAAAACACTACTTTTTCTGAGAAAAATCAACAATAGCAACTTTTATGTAGCAAAATGTACCAGAAACCAAACCTCAAGCCCTCTGAAGTGATAGGAGAACACCGGTACCAAGTGCCTCATCATAAATAATGAGCAAATAAATTTTGGAAATTGACAATGTCGAGTTTCTAAATACATCTTCATGTGCCTCATATATTTGTAATAATGCCATATGCTTAGAGAATAAAGTGAGCATTGAGAAAAGTAGACATTAAATGAATCGTTTGGTAACAACGCCACAAATTCTTTACCTACCCTCTCCATTAGAATTAAAAGTCAGCAATTGCCCAGATACATAGGGTAACACATCCTCCAAATGTCAATATACATCTCATTTCCAGAGTAAACCCCACAGCAAACACAAATTGCAAGTAACAACAAAATTAAATTGTATCAAAATTAGAGTGAAAGAAAAAAGTTTAATTTTTCTCACTGAAACACATAATTAAGCAAACAAAATCAACTAAATTCAAAAACTTTTCATCACAATTTTAGTCAATACACATAATCATATATATCTACCTCTTGAAAGCTACAATGCGAAACCCTTCAAATACTCAGGATCACGCTTGGCCCGTTCCTGAAACTTCTTAAACCACCTATCCAATATATCCATTGGCACAACCAACTTACTCCCATCCACTCCACAAAACGACTGCATGAAATTAAACAAATTCTCCCCAACCTTCAATGCCAATCTCTCAATTTTCTTCTCCGCCGTGACGTCCAAGGAGGGCAGCGACGCCAGGTCCTCGACGGAGACACCGATTTTGGCGGAGAGCGGGGCAGCGTCGGCGGTAAGTTGCATTTGGCCGCCGGGGTCCGGCCACGGGAGAGAGAGGACAGCGGAGGGGCGAGAGAGCGTTACGGCGCCGCAGAAGAGGAAAGGCGAGCCTGGGGCTTGGATGTAGACCGCTAGGGCTTTGTCTGGCGGTAGAGTGAAGTTGTTGAGGAGGAAGATGCAGACTTCGCGGATTGAATCGTACGCCTCCCCTGCGCACGTTAGCAGCAAGCGGTCACACAAACATATATAAATTTTCCGGATTGAATCGTTCGCCACCCCCTGAATACGTTAGCATCAAGCAATATCTCACACATATACTCGCACAAAATTTAAATTTGAAAAATGAAAAGCTTACCGACGAAGGTGTTCATGTCGAGGACCCAATGGAAGGTGTCGATTTGGGTGAAGGTGGAGATGTCCATTGGGAAACTACGATTGGGGAACACTACTCCAAACATTATTTTCGATTGAATTGTGCTTGCGCTGTTTATTTTGGCCCTTTTTTGGTTAGAAAATAAGTGTTTGTATGTGGGGTTTCTGCAGAGAGAGAGAGAGAGAGGGAGTAGCAGAGAGAAGCTCAGGAGAGCAAGAAGGGAAAAGGTGGAGGAGACTCGGAGGAAGGAATTAGCAGTAGTACTTTGTAGAGATGCCTGAGAGTTGAGAAAAGTCTAGTAGATTCCAGAAAGGTCGAGCTGAGCAAACCCTCACAGTTGGATCCAGATCCAGATCCAGTGGCTTTTGGAATGCTTTGGGTTTTTGAGTTTTTTGGGCCGATTTACAATTCATTCCTCACATCTTTGTTTTTTTTCAATATGTTTTGGTGAAATTATCTTACGAAATATTTTATTTTTTAATTATAATAAACTTTTTAATCACTCACTTATATTTTAACTACAATAAATATTTTTTACACTCACTTATATTTTAATCCATAATAAAGCGAGATTTGTATAGGAATTTATAAGATGAATCATGCATAATATCTCCGTCTCCGTATCCGCTTAAAAAAATTTTGTTCATCCCTGATCCAGTCTCGTTAACGATTATAATTTTCATATTCATTCCCATTCATGGTAAATTTATAATCCCCGCCCCCATCCCCGCTGCCCTCGTACCCGCCAAAGCCCAAGCCTAAGTTCAAGCCAATATAATCTAAAATTCTAAATAAATTTAATATTTTAAATACACAAGACAAAGAAGAACACAATACTCTCTACTAATACACAGGATTGATTTTTCAAGGTAAGATTATCATAGTCTAGAAAAAAGTGATGGAAACTAAGTGGATGAGGTTAAAGAGAAAGCTATGACGTTTTATAAAAATCTGCTTGTTGTGAAGTATAATTACTCATAGCAGTGTTCAGTCGAAGTTAGCAATATATATCAAAACACCATTACAGAAGCGCAGGCTACAGATTTAAACAAGGAATTTACAACTAAAAAAAA